AAAAAGCTGAGTGCTTTACTATTAATGCTTTACCAATTTTATCGCAGTAGATTTGAAGGCAACTGTTCCACAGTAATTGACGAAAATAAAGCAAAGAAGCGGTGTGGAAACAGGGCAGTACAGAGAATACATTTTTGATTTAAATAGAGAGAAAAATAGACGACCAGCTAAATCAAAATTATTTGCCAGTAAGATTTGTTATTTACCCAATATGAGAGTAAATGTGAATAGCAGAACTCGAACGATGGAATAAAATTACCGATGTCAATCATTTTTAATTGAGGAGCAAATATCTTCTGCGCTATTTAGTGCGCACAATATGTCAAAAGTTGAACTGCCTCATAGGGATCATTGTTTTGCGATGTCGACTCAAGTGTTTTCATGTTCGAATGCGTTGATGGAGTTCCCAATGAGGCGTTTGCTCAATATCCCAGTATTTTGTAGCCACAAAATGAATATAATAACATGGTCCAGCGCGAATTTTGATTCAAATATATGAGCGGTAGTTTGACTGATTCGAATGAGCACAATTTTAATGGGCGCCGTAATGCGAGTATCCAACCGATACCTAAATTAAAGTAGGTACGTTTATCAGTATACCTAGAGTTTGTAGTACCATAATGAAATCACTATAATTTGGAGATTAGTTATAAATAAACTCTTTCCCATTGCTAATGAATTTGCATGTATTTTTAGGATGAAATTCTATCTATCGATGAATTACAGTAGCACTTTAGATTCATTGCGCCAATGTCGTTCGCAACCGGTCATTTCACCTGGGTGCCGCATGACGTAATTGATTTGCAATCTCCTATACAAAGGAACTTCTTAGTAAAACCGGACCAGGTACGAACTACCTGTCCGGATGGCTCACTCCAAAGTTGCTTTACTTGTGCTCTTTCTATTCACAAGAAACCAAATGCTTTCTCTGTTTCCATTGAGCTTCACCCACCCGCGCTTCTCCGCAGGCTCTTCCTTGACTTAGAGTGTTCGCTTAGATAGGTGTGACCGCTATGGGAAGTTTGCTATCACAACCGGATCGTCACATTTGCAGACCAGCGCACCAAACAGTGCTCGAAATATTTAAACTTGATTAAATTTTATTACGGAATTCGGGTTGATTCTTCACGAGTCACAGCCATTTGGAAAGTCTGGCGCCAGGTATAATTAGATAAAATGGCAAGGTTCATACAAGGTTCAGTATAGCATTTTATTGGGTTAAAACGTCACCAAAGCGAAGGTCTTTTTGGTTACGTGCAGAGTGAAGCACAAAAGCAATGTATATTAGCAGGACATCGGGTGTACGGAAAAAATGGTAAGATAAAGTCTTTAAATCGTTAGATGAACGCACTCAGCAGAAACTCTTGAATAAGCGAATCGTGTTCTAATTTGTTTCTTGCTATCGCTAATCCAAGCATTCCTTTCGAATCGGACACTATGTACATGACGCGCAATTCCTCTTTTGCCAACTGCTCCGAGTTTGGATTTTAAATCGCTAAATTTGCAAGCATCTATCAAATGATATAAGTGCATCTTACAAGCGATGCGTTCCTGGGTTATCAGAAAATGTTCAATACTATTAGCACTATGGTTCATGTTGTTGCATAGAATAACCTTAACATAGATGATATAGTACTCGTGAGTAGCTAAACACTGTCAAACGAAAATCTAAAAAGGTGAAGGAAGTTGACTGAAGTTCGTCTAAAAGTGGAATAAAATTAGTGTATTGATCAATATGAGATTACACTGTGAACTCATGTGGTGAATTTTTTTAATGTGCATAGACTTCATCCAAGCATTTCAATTAGCACGCTAGCACTGATGCTAAACATCATCAGCTTCACACCGACAGAAAGAACAGTAAATTCCGTTTAATCCGTTTAAGTTCTAAAAACCACATGGCCACTTATCAGTATATTTAAATCTAAAACACTGTATAATTATGAATGACACAGAATGGTAGAGACCAATGGTTTTCCCTCAGTTGAGTCACCTGTTATTATTTCGACGATTGTCACGTGATAACTATTTACATCTAGTGTGGGCCATATTAACTAGAACCCAATCCTCCTGATTCAAACGTTATCCACCACGATAAAATGTATATCATTCTCCAAAGAAAGAAAGAGGGAATTAATCGACGCGTATATGACGAAGGATGCCAAATCCACAAATTGCAATGATTAGATTAAATAGGACATTAGTCCTGCATATATGTCAACAATGTGAACCCAGTCGCTATACAGTCAGATGGGTATTAATAAATGACTACGGTTTCTATCAGGAAAGAGAAGCACAGGTAGCCAGAATACGAAAAGGGAATTGCTTGTCAATCATAACAATAAAATACTTATTATCGACTAGTTTTCCGATACGGTTTACGGACAACCAATAATGAGAAGGACAGGACGGAAAAGAATGCATACAAATATGCGATGGAGGACGGGGCCAGAAAATCGGATACATGGGTCATTGTAATTATTTCATCCATAAAACAACTGAAAAGGATGGGATCAAATGAATACCTATCTGACACGGATGGCAGAGTGTGATCCAAAAGAGTCTGTGCCATCGAGTGGAGTCGAGATACAAAAACAATATGGATTTTCAATCCAAACCAATTTGTGTTTCAAACAAACAAAAAGGGGTTTGCCTGTAAATTAATTAAAAACTTATAGGCTGCTTATCAACTTATGTTCTTTGAGAGACAAAAATGAAGTGAATTAAACGAGCTTAGCACATTCAGATTTTAGGTCATTCAGTGTTTCACCGGCGTTGCTTATTCCATCGGTGATGGCGACTGAAACAACTCCATCTTTTAGGTGCTGCATAGCTGTCACTGTCAAAATCCCATCTCTATCCACGGTGAATTTGAAATCAACCCTCACGGAACCTTGGGGTTTCGGGTTAATAATTGGTATAACAACTCGGCCCAGCAGATGATGGCCACTGTCTTCGGTGTTTTGCTCTTCCCCTTCATACAAGGTGATTTGCAGACTCTTCTGATTGTCACATATTGTCGTTCTACATACATGATTCTCACTGGGAATTACCGAACCGCGAGCAATTACCGGGATCATCAAGGTGTCGAACAAGCAGAGACCAACAGAACGGGGAACACAGTCTAAAATTGCCCAGTCCGAAAGATCTCCCACAGGCCACATATCATAAATTCGGGCCGATTGCATGGCTGCACCAGCGACCACCAATTCGGTTGCATTCATTGGTCTGTGAATTACTGCGCCCGGAAACAGGGTTGTAACACCTTGTACAATTCGCGGCATATGTGTTGCTCCACCAACTAGGATAACTTCGTCAATATCATCTGCCTTGCAATTCGCACCATGCAGTGCGTCTTCCACACATGTAACCAATCGTTTCCAAAACATTTCCGTATTGCGCAAAAATAGTTCCTGGTCAATAACTATGTCCAAATCTACGTTTTCCGCAAAATCTTCTAAATAAGCACGAACCTCCTTAGCACAGTTTAAATTTAGCTTGATCTTTTCACATTCGTTCCAAAGACGCCAAAGTGCATGCACATCGACAGTAGCTGATTGTAACTGAGGATGACTATCCCGAAAACGAGATAAGATCGCTTCCATTAACTGTTCAGTGTATTCGTTTCCGCCTAACTGGCTGTTACCAGAAATACATTTCACCTCCACTATATTGAGATCAAATTCGACCACGGAGGCACAAAACTTTCCACCGCCCAAATCAAAAATTAGGGCCTGCTTGGTCTCACCGTCTTTCACATTTTCGACTCCATATGCTAGAGCNGTGACGTCGTTCATCAAAGAAACTTCCTTAAAACCTGCAATCAGTCCAGCTTCCTTGGTTAACCGACGTTGCATATCTGTAAAATGTCCTGGCACAGCTAGTACCACATGTGTTACCATGCGGCCTAAATGCTCCTCGGCAATATTCTTCAATTTTAAAAGAAACAAAGAAATGATTTGTTGAGGACTGACGAGTCTGTTCTCATTTCGGCATTGTATCTTCACAAACGAGGTTCCTTCGATATCCATCAACTGGAAAGCTCGATGTCCATCCTGCGCAGGCGTTTGGTTACAAGGTTGTCTGCCTAGAATGCGCTTTAAGCCATATATGGTGTTTGCTGGGTTGAGATCCATTTGCATGAGTGCCTCTTCACCGAACAAGCATTTGGAATCCGTGAATGCAATCACACTGGGCATGGTGTATTGGCCCGGATAAATTGGAATCATGACCAGTTTATCGTTCTCTAACCAAGCCACGTGAGATTGGGTAAATCCCAAATCAATGCCAATGGCGCAAGACATTTTATAAACCGATCCAGCGATTAAAACGCTTTATTCTCCTGGGTGACTGAAAACATCTGCGTAACTTTATTCTCAATTGTGCATCACTTATCGATTACTAATATCCCTCCGTGAATGAAATCATCTTATGTGAACTTCGATCGAAATGATCACGTGACTTGGTGAGTTCCGTTGCAGAGCTCACAGAACTCAATCTTGTAACATTGTATTTGCATGGAATTTTTGCATAATGTAATGCAAACTCTCCAAGTGAAAATAACAGAGGACGCTTTGGACTGAAAGAGCTAGATTTACTTCAAGTTTTAAAGCTCAGGAACGCATAACATTGTGCAAACTATCGATCATTTGCGGAAAGTTACTTAGCTCGTGTGTGAATTTTAGTCGTACACCGTACATTATAAACAAAGCGGTATGTATTTAAAAATACGGGATTTATCGGGATAAGTTGATCAAAACCAGTTTCATCGATAAAGTATGAAATTGCGTTATTCATTAGATATAGATAGTTACAGCCGTGATGTTTCAAAAACGTGAGTTTTTAAGAAATTTGCTAAAGAAAAATGCATCAAGGCTAGATAACACCTAAAGATGATTCAATTCTATAACTTTTTAGTCTGATTTCTTTCACTCACATACGTTACAGGCATACAGTCAGAAAATGCACATACATCCTTTACCAAGGTTTTCACTTTTTCTGTCCGTAATCAGCGAAAATCATTATATATATCACGTCTGAGACCAAACTGTGTGCCATATAATCATCTTTAGAAATCTTTAGAAAAAGGTTAAACGTTCCATTATTGGCATGCGGACCGATTACTTTCAGGTTACCCAGGCCGAGGTAGTTAACTTTTCTTCAGAAATCGACAAATGGAACTTCGGCTATCCAAAGCCTGACCAGCATGGCAGTGTGGGGCGGTGTGTGAAAACCGCAATCTATTGGAGGGCAGTGTCCATTTCATCGGATCATACGTCCTTCAGAGGGAGTCATACGTTCAAGGTGCCCAGTACACCTCGATGCCCAATCGAGCCGGTGACCACTGCCACAACCGAAAAGGTTTGGGTGTGTGTGTGGTTTGTACGCCTCTTCTTGATTGGTTTGGAATCAGGGTTTTTGGCCAACTCCCCTAGGTGAACTGCCAGTGGTCCACCAATTCGGTTATAGCCCCGGATGTCGGTTCTTCGTCCTCTCACTTTGGTGAAAATATATCTCCGCGACAAGAAGGCAGTAAGTAGGACTTCCCCAGCAGAGGCTATTTGAGAGGCTTGGTCTTATGGGAGCGTTTCGCGAGGTGCAGGAGAAAGGTGACTAGTCGAAACCCTGGACACCCACCCGCGACCATACTGGGGCTTTCGGAGGCAAAAAACCATTGCTTCAAATAAGATTGTCTTCCGTACGATGAACTGATTACAGCGTGAGATTGTATCACATGGGGTGACGGCAACCAACGTTCTTCATATTGATCCAACTGAAGAAGTGAACATCAACAAAAAAGATGATAAGCATAAACAGATCAATTCTCGAATAAAGAGCTCCATCTAAATTTCCTCTGATCATGTTACTGGAACTAGTTAGAAAGTCAATGGAAGATAAAAATTAAATACAAAGAGTAAGCTGTTAGTTGTAAACATTGTTGAAGAAACGTATTTTTCGAGGAATGACAAGCTTACCAAAGTTAGTTTTCGGTAAATAAAATGGGTGGCATTCATTCGTGAAGGACTGTACCTAATAAGTAATTATTCCATTACAATATTGATAGGAATTTCATTTTATTCTCAGTGTCCTTTTCAATTTCAGATATATAGAATCTGGACAGTCCAAAACCAGATACGTTTACTCATTCTTGACATGTCGAACTCTTTCTGTTATCGGGCTTACTTTTACTTTTTATATCTTCACGCTTTATCATCTGTCAACAAACCCATCACCTTATTAGTTTCATCTTTAATGAACCACCACTCGTGGTTGCTCAGTCTTTACTCAAGGTGCATCAGTGTTGTTATCGAATTATTCTTTGAGTGACACAACAAACAATTACTACCTTTATTCGGTGAACAAATCATACACCGAATCTTTAAAACAATCATGGACTTTAACTGTCTTTTGCTTTTAGGAAAATAGCAATCTGCAGTAGTCTCAAAGTACTAATCGTATGTCCATTTTCCCTCAAAAAGGGTCGAACCAATAGTTCCGTGCGGTTATACCACGCTCCACAGTCAGGACCATTTGAATAGAATTGATCGATAACCCCCAAACCCGGGTAAGCACCTGAGTAAGATAATCGTCCTTTGGTATCGCCTTCATTGGACATTGTTTGCCTTCCGTTATCCGATAATTCCAACCCCCTCGCATCTCCTCGTCCTGGAGTGGTATGGTTCCCCCCATTCATTCACTTCGGACAGACAACAGACACTTTTTATCATGAGCAATTAATTCCGCTGCATTACTTCAAAACAACGATGTACGAACAAACTTGCTTTCAACGTTACATCTACTGGCCAATTACAGCACATTACAAAATTCAGGGAAACGTGTACAAAATGGGAGTTGAGAGGCTTGGAGGTGGGTGTTCAAACACTGATCGCGTAATTAGTGATGATCAATTATAGAGTAGACATTTTCGACTGAATTGTCAAGCGGGGTCATTCAGGATACATGTCACCGGAGGGTAAGGAATTTCACGAACTGTGTCTGTGCACACAGTGGGCGATTGTTTATTCCAATTGCTATCACCTCAGTTGTAGATAACAATCGAACCGCGTCACTGAATAAATTGGAAGGAACGATTCCCGCACGTCCACAGCATGATTCGTTTAGGCCAGATGTAAATCAAACGCACTTGCGCCTGCCCTTATCGATCCTCGACTGAGCCCAGTCGGGTGGTGTTCTCCTAAACGATTGGCCAAGCGTTTGTTGGTGCGACCTACGTAACTTTCACAACAGGAGAAAATAAAGTGTTAGGGACAAAAATAGGTCGTCTGCACTGGTAGCCGGTTCGTTATCTGTTGAAAAAGTATTCAAAACCGGTTTCCGTAGCTCGGGTGAACAGAATTCCATTTCGCCTGTTCGTCCAGCTTGGTAATTTGTTTGCAAAGGTTTCATCACCAACCGAGGTGAAATCGTCAGTACCTTTGAATTGGTTCTTCGCCTGTTATGAGAGAAGTGGTTTGAAAGGGTAGAAAATTCGCAATTTCGTTGAGGAACAAATATTTCACACTACGCCCCTCAGTCGTTTGCCCACTGTTCTGGCACGAGTATCACCTTCGAAAGGCAATGAAATGTAAATCTTCTAATTTTCCGCTGTTACGTCCTTCAGTTTGGCAATTTAGACCCTCGTGTAGCGACCGATAAGTTCCTCTGTGTATCCATTTTTGGAATTGCTGACATAACTTTGTCAGTTCATTATCCAGTGTGTCAGCAGAACGAGGTATTGTCACACGATTGGCAATATATGGGATTAAGCTTCGTTTACGCTACATTGAGTACTCCGCATATTCTTTTTGTGTACGTTTCGTGTTAGGGAGATATCTTGGTGGGGTGACAAGCAGTTATCAAGGAATGACGTTAGTGAGCAGTTTCTACCTCTGGGATAAAAGTTACAATATTATTATTTTTCATCATTCATCAATCATATTATTTATAATAATCGCACGCAAAAACCGGTCATAGTTCAACCATCGGTGCAGGTGTTAAATCATTGATCCGAAAGTTGAAGGAATCCCACTGGTTACTCAGCTGTGGTTATATTGTGGTAACATGAATCCGGTCTAAAATGCACAGTATTTTCTAGGGGAATCCGATTGGGTGTTAAAAACTTTAGCTGTGATAAGGTACACTAGTTTGGTTTTCTCGTAAGGGATAGTGGCATTTTAGTTTGATATATGAAAACAGGATTACAATCAGACAGTCAGTACATTGGTTCTTGTCATGATTTACTTACGTACTCGTAGTCTGTCAATTCATAATCTTTTGATGTTGATTGCAACGTACTACGGGAACAAGGAAAACCCTTCATTGGTGGTGAAGGAATTTAAAAACACTTGCGCAACAAGAGTTAGGAGAAACGGTGCGAAAGGGCTGATAAACAAATTCAAATCTACCGGAAATGTAGACGATAGTAAGCGCAAGAGACAGTCACAAACAACGAAGGTTGAACGTGGTATATTCAACGTGTTGCAATGTGTACAGCGAAATCCTAATTCAACCACAAGGCGAATTGTCTCGAAATGCAACATGTCACAGTATTCCGTACTGAAAAGGAGCTCAGTTACAAGAACTTCATGCCATTGATCCAGAATGCCGAACAGAATTTTGTACACGGTACCTGGCACACTTGAATGTGTTACAAACGGTTTTCATGAGCCGGGTGTCGGTTTGAAGAATTTCAAGTTGCGCATATCGTGGAAAATGATCCAATCAGGTCTCAGAGAGGGTCAGCGAGAATTTCATTGTTTAAGCTCACGGGTGAGAGGAGAAAGCCGATGTGAAACGACGGAGCAATCGCACTGTGTTCAATTACGAGGTCTGATCTAAGTCTATTAAAGCCTGATTGCTGTCTACAGCAGATGTAATGGCGATTAGAATAAGCAACCAACCCCCCTCCCGTTGCGCGCATAGAAAAAGTTCATCCTGCGTGTCCGAAGTGCCCTCGCCTCCCAGCCCCTGAAATTTCACTTTCCACATAATACAAACCTGATTGGTTTTGAGTTTCGTGTTTGGGCTTCGTTTCTTGGAGTCACTGAAATCATCTACATGTGGAGTGCATTTCACCCTCTTTTAATCACTCGACCGCTAATTAGCTGTCTCTTGGTCCATTCAACCGGAAAATATTTTCACCTATACTGCGATTAAATGGAAATGCTGTTCCCAAGCTGTTATAATCCTTTTTAATCTTCTCAAAATGCCTTATTATCAGATCGCTTTCATTTTGATGGCACTTCAATAAGCATAAAACACTGAAGAGAACAACCGGTTAAACCGCAAGGGCATTGTCCGTGAAAGGTCATTTGTTAAGTAGCCCCCAAAAGGTAATGCTAGTGGTATTTATTTGTCGCTTGTAAACAGTCGGAATATGAACTATAATATTTAGCTTGGGGATTTTAAATGCATTATCTTGACATGGTGGTTCTTGAGCGCAGGCTCCAGTTCATGGAAAGTTTCATTCATCGTGTTTAAGAACGCTTTAATGATGCTAGATACCAAATTAAATGTTCAGAGCACAGACGATCATTGGCCACATCAAACTGAAGATTTCCGCGAAAGACCTCTAATGGGTTATTTTCAACGATCAGTATGATTTGCTGAATCACCTCGCAAACATAGTGTAGGTCTTGACTAAGAAAGAACTCAAAACCGGTCCAACGGGTAAAAAATGACTGATTCGCAGTCGAACAAAGAAGAGCACTCCGCAGAGAAATATCTTATGGAGAGCGGATAAATGATGTACATACTGTCTTCTGCAAAACAACTGTGATAAGTTGGTGCGGGAAGACAGGTTCACTTAATGAACGCATGCGCAATTTTATATCAAATCCAAAGATGCAATATGAGTACAATTGCTTCTGAAAAGGTTAAATCCAGTGAGCCACGATAGGTTTGGCAATCTAACGAGTAACATATTTCAGTCATTAAGTCAACTGTTTCATCGTATTCTGCCAATTCTGTGCTTCCTGATGCAAGTCAGGGAAGGAGTAACTTCATCTATATTCAAGAGCGGTTGTCGTATTGACCCGGCTAACCGCTGGATCGGCACTCTCTTCCCCGTAGTGTACAAAGCAAACTTTAAAGTTTATTTGAATTTTTATAATACATGGCGGAAAATTGGAAGACAGATGCGCTGAAAGAAGACCAGGTTATCAGGAGATGATACTTTTACAACTTTTATCAATTGATTGAGTGTCATCCATTTTGAAACAAGATGACCGAGTGTCATTTCAAGTTGTCCCGTCATCAAG